TTTTTTCACTGACGTGCACATTTTTTGTATGTGTCCCAATATCTGGAAGTTCATAATGCACTTGTTCTTGAACCAACAATCATCTGTATTATGAGACTGTTTCCCACAATGAAAGTCTTTGAGTACTCTCCTGGTAGTGCTTTCTGTATGACCCTCAGTTTGTGTGTTGCACAGATTGCACAACGTTGCAATTCCCTGACGTTATTAGTAGCTGTCTCCATTGATGCAACTTCTAGTGCATGATTTAGGATCAATTCAGCCTTAGGCCAGGTTTACACTTAAAAATTAGATCGACCTAGATACATCACTCAGGACTGTGAAAAAAATTGTCCCTGTGCAATGTAGTTAGGTCGACCTAAGCCCCTGCTAAATCAATAGAAAAATTCTTCAATCAACCTAGCTACCACCTTTTGGAGAGGTAGATTAACTATATTGATGGAAAAAACCCTTCTGTTGTTGTAGGAAGCATCTACACTGGTAGGTAGCACTGTAGCTATGTCACTGTAGCATTTGTAGTGTAGACATACTCTATCTGTTTTTGGGTTGCTTTATTTTGCAAACCACACATTAACTAGTCCCTTCATATATCATTTAAATGCTCTCCAAACTGGCAATGTTCTGTTAACTTCCTTAATTTAGCCACCTATTCAGAAATGGTTTCATTTGCTGTTTGATTTTTGTTGAGAAGAGCAGAAATGCTCTGTAATCACCAGTGGCTTTGAGGATAGGTGACTTTGTGTAACTTCCACAATTTCAGCGCACTCTGCTGGTTTCAGAGATGCTGTTAGGCTACCTTGCAGGTTACACTCAGTGAAAGCACTACTTTTTCTCATCAGTTGTACTATTAGCCATTTTATATTGTTCTAGTCTCTCAGTATAGTCTACTCTTCTACAGAGGTATCAGACAAGTCCATCTCCCCCAAACAGCCAGACATTTTTACCCCACCCCCACTACTTTATTTAAATAAGCAGTTGACCCACAGTCCTAGGGGCTGCCTCCTCATCCCCAGTTGCTTTACCTTTTGCTCTTTACACAATAACGATACTATCAAGAAACCACAGAGGCGCAGCTGAGTTCTGCATAACCCTGTTTGGTAACTATACATAGGCATGCAAGAACTAGCGACCTACATAAGTTCCTTTTTGTGGCTAAAAGTTCCTGACAGTTGAGAGTTCTATCGCGAGGTCATGAGTCAGGCTTAATTTTTACTTAGAAAGCACAGCTCTCACGATTAATTCCTGAGAGTAGGCATGTCTACATCATGCAACTGTCTCAGCTGAAGAGACTAAACAAAAACACAACCAGTCAGAAACACCGTAATGGCAGGAAGCAGTTTATTCCTGTTGACCCTGTGAATCAATATACATGTGAGCAACACTCCTGGCCAAGTGAGTAGGTTACTCACGGTCCCAGTGCCTATGGACTGCAGTTATTCTTTCATTTTCACTTGCCTTTTCTGTCACTCTCTGTACCACTGCATTCCTGGATTAGGGAATCTTCACCTGCTGTGTCTTTTGGCCTTTACCCAACAATAATAGCATGAAGAAACCACAGTGCATGGTGGGGTCCGTACAACCATGTATATAGGGTTACCATATTTTGAGTGTCCAAAAAGAGGACACTCCACGGGGCCCCGGCCCTGCCCCCAGCCCCGCCCATGCCCCCGCCCCAACTCCACCCCTTCCCCTGCTTCCCGCGAACATTTGATTCGCGGGAAGCCTGAAGCAGGTAAGCTGGGGGGGGAGGAGGGGAGGCATGGCCCAGTCTGGCCCCCCCCCACCGAGCGGCTCCCTCCGGCGGCCGGCCCCGGCCCCAGCGTCTCCAGCCTGGCTCAGCTCCTGGGGTGCCGGCCCCGGGCCAGCCCCCGGCCCCGCACCGCTGGGCCCAGCCCGGCCCCACACCCCTGGGCCAGCCCCCGGCCAAGCACTCCCTGCCCAGCACCGCCGGCCCCGGCCCAGCACCCAGCAGCGCCGGCCCCTCCCTATTTTCCCGGACATGTTCGGCTTTTTGGGATTTCCCCCCCGGATAGGGATTTGAGGCCCAAAAGGCCGGACATGTCTGGGAAAATCCGGACGTATGGTAACCCTAATGTATACTAATTATATACAACATGCAAGGCCTCTGGCTGGTTTCTAAAACAGACAAGACAGTTTAAAAGGATTCTGCCAATTCCTGTACACTGCAGTATCCACATATCTCGATGTCTATCAGCTTTAATTGGAAGACCATTCTCCTATCTGGAGTTCTCAAGCATGGTTGCCATGTTCTATCTGAAATCTTAGCTGGTTTTTAGGAGGTGAGGATAAAAAATGTTCCCCTGTCCCCTTCAACATACAGAGTTGCATAAAATTGCTTCTTTCTGCTGCTATGCCCTCTGTGAAATTGAGTCAGAATGGCCTGGCCTTCTGCTAACCCTGTGGAATACAGCTTGGCAATCAGGAAACCAGAACCAACACCGTGTGACACGACTTGCTTGACCAACCAATCTCTGCTCAAAAGGCAAAAAAGAACCCACCTCACCCCCGCTACCTCTCTTGAATCTTGTGGTTTGTTTGGTTTGCACTCATAGATAGGAGCCAAAGTTTTTTCACTCAAATTTGTTGTGAGAAACCTTGCATGTTTTTGTGTAAGAGATTTACTTCTGTTTTGCAGACATTTTTTAGTTTGCAACCTCAAAACAGATGCATTACCAAACAGTCCACCCAGGTCTAGCTTGCATAGACTATTGGATCAGATAAGAGCATGCAGCACGCAGAGAGCTTGCCTATAGCAGACAGCAGCATGGCGGGGAGAATAGATGAGCAGCTTAAGGAAGCACAGAGGCGGGCCTGATATATAATCTCTCTGCTACAGATTTGGCCCCATTTCTCCCCAGTGATCCTTCCCAGGAGATGCCTCTGTCCCTTGGGCATCTCTTCCCTCACCCTAATGGCACAACATTGTCTCTTCATAAACCATGGAGTTTAGAGACTAATTATTCCTTCTCCTGGTATTTTATATGGGAAGGGACAATATTGTTTGCAGAACTGTTTTTGTTCAGATGTTTTTCACCCAGTGAACACACTATAATTACCCACAATAATAGAAGAGACTACAAATGTTGTACTTTGTCTTTAGCTCCAAACTTCTGCCATCAGTTTAAGAAAGAGAGGGTTGTCCAGTGGTCAGAGCATGGAGCAAAGACTCAGGAGTTCATGGCTCTACTCCCAGTTCTGCCTCTGCCTTACTGTGTAAACCTGGGTAAGTCATAAAACATCTGTGCACGTGCCTCTGTTTCCTCCTCTGTAAAATGGGGCTAGCAATACTTACCTATCTCACTGGAGTGTTGTAGACATAATGAATTAATGATTGCAAAGTCTTTTGAGATCATAGAATCATAGAATATCAGGGGTGGAAGGGACCTTGGGAGGTCATCTAGTCCAACTCCCTGCTCAAAGCAGGACCAATCCTTCATCATTGGATGAAAGATGCTATCAACATGTAATGTATTAATACTTTAACTTTTAATCAGACCAGTTTATTACACGGGGCCTGTATGCTAATGGCCTGATTTTTCAGACTGTTTGGGTGAACAACTGGACACACAAAATATGTTTGCTCCATCATGCACCTAAGTCCAGATTTAGAGCACACTGACGTTATTATGACTGCATATTTAATGCCGACAGACCCCGGTTGAACCTGGGGCCTCTGGAGCTGAAAGCAAGAGCCTCTACCATATGAGCTAAAAGCCAACTGGCTGTTAGCTAAGGCTATAGAGCAGACTCATTTTATCTCTCTCTCTAAGTGGTCTTGGTGCCAATAGATGGGACAGAACACCAGGCCCAGAAGGTGTGTGGGTTACACATATAAACTGGATAATTGTGCATGCAAATATCTAATTAGCTGTATTTACATGCACAGTCACATTAATTGTGAACACAAACTGGGCATGCAATTGCTCACTCAAAATGTGTAAACCTGACCCTACATATTAAATGTATACACTGTACAGGAGATGAGCTTGAATCAAACCCCAGGATTTAAATGTCCCTGAACTTTGTGGGCTGGGAGGTTGCATCCTGTACCCAGATCCAGACCCAAACTTTGCAAATGGACCTAATTTTATCCTATGATGATCCAAACCCCTGGCCTGAACACCTTGCAACTTTGGGCTATTCAAAATCCAGATCTGAATGTTGTGTGTTGAATCTCTCAATATGGACACAGTGTAGCTTGTTGCCCCTTTGCCAAGTTATAACAGAATTCAGAACCTTGCCGTTCAGGTCCTGTTTGAAGCAGAAATCAGTGAAGCAGAGCCAGGTATTTTCTCAGTATAATTTGTTTATTTACAATGTGTGCAAATCCTGTTTCATTGAACACAGGTGGTAACAAACAGCACACAGGGCACGCCCTCTTGCAGAAACCTCTGGTCAGGTACCTCTGCCTTGTCCCAGAAGCATCTGCCTTGGGCCTCTGTCTCTTCCCAGGTCCTCACACAAGTCTCACACAGCCCAAAACTCCCCTGCTTGGACAGTCCCTGAGCTAGACACCTGGGAAACCCCTAGTGCAAGGATCCCTCTCAGACTAGGTGGTCTAGACAGAAAGGTGGCTTGGACATTAATTGTTTCTTTATGCAGCTGCTTTGCAACACAAAGGAACCTCAGAGCTTTAACTGCCAGACAAAGGGAAGTGCTTTAACTATCCAATATCCTTCATGACTCTGGATGGGGTTACTGCACAGTGTCTTCAACTTGTTCTATGTGGGGTTTCAGCCTATGGGCTTATGCATCAATGACTTCTAATAGACAAACCATTATCAGTGTTCCCTAATGGGCCAGCCATAACAGTATTTAGTAAATAGAAGTCACTTTATAACCATATAGCTAGCAATCCAGTATATAAAAATTATATATGGTCCTCAATATTGATTATATAGTATCAATATACATTTATTATATAATGAATTGTACAAGTACGAGGGACAAAGACAAATGAATAAATGCATATTGTGCTTACTGCACTATACCAGCTGATCTGGGTAGGCATCAAACACAGACAGAAAATTGCCTCACCTCTAAAGCTAATTTTAGTCTCTCCTATCTAGCTCTGCTTCTATTAAATCACTGCTAGTCTGACAGTGTTCCAGTAACCTGTGCCGTGCACGAAGCAGGGTGCACTGACTAACCATCTATTGCATGGCATGGGTTAACTGAGCCTGTGGGATTGTGCTTACCTAAACAAAACCACTGCAATGAGGGGAAAAAACAATGAATGGGTGGAGATGTTCAAGCCGAGGCACTCCAGCTAGTGCAGTCGGGCTGCAATGACAGGCTGAAGGTTGCAGCAGCATCGGGATCTGCATTCAAAGTGAGTGAATCTTACATTCTGGAGCGAGCTTGCGTGCAGGTCTTGTTTATTTGCTGAGACATGGCCAGTAACCAGGCCAGCCTGCAGGATGAGCAGAGCAGGCATTGTAAGTTCTTATCCTATATGTTCTACCAGGCTGTGAGAGACCACAAACCGGTATGGATGCTGGAAGATATGAGAACTATGGAATATTTTTACTGGGAGGAAAATGCCAGCCTGAGAACGTATTCACCTTCGGAAGCCCTTCTCTATGCAGTGGTGCATAATCACCTGCCTTATGCCCAATATCTGCTGTCTCATTTTCCAGAGGAGGCTCTCAAGGTGCCTGGAGAGCATTTCTGCTATTGCCCGTCCTCTGCCCCTCATTTGGCCATGGCAGTCACATACGACAGGAGGGACATTTTGGGGCTGATCATCAAGATTGCACACAAGCTACCCAGCCTAAACTCCTACATCAACAGGACCGGCTGCTTTCATCTGGAAGATGGCAAGACCCCGCTGCACCTTGCCTGCGAACTGCTGAGGTCAGAGACCGTCCTCATCCTCCTAGGGAACGGGGCTTCTCCCAGGATCGAGGACAGTAAAGGGCTCACCCCGTTGGATGTCATCCTGGAGCAGATGTGGGACTCCAAAGTCAATGTGGCATCAAAAAAGCTCTGCCTCGATTACCTCTTGCTCTTCATGCCTAGCCCACAGTTTAAGATGCGGAGAGTTCTGCAGGATCATCCAGACCACTGGACAGCTTTGCTAGGGGAAGACAAATTCAACACCCTGGTGGGGAACACACCTGCTTCTTTATACCTGCAAGCTATGCAAACTATTCTCCAGTCTCTCCCACCTTCCCACTTTCCTAAAAGCATCCAGGAACTACCTATACCTCAGGCACTAAAGCCCCTACCTTCCTACGGCAAAAAGTTACAGACAAAAAATGTGGTAAATGTTTTTCCTTGACTATTTTGGGGGGGTTGGATTTTCAAAGGCACCTAAGGGAGTTAGGCACCTACCTCCCCTAGAATTTCAATGAGATTTTGGTACCTACCTCCCATAGGCCCCATTTGAAAATCCAATATTTTATGAGAAGATTTTCAGTGTTTTTCTAATCGATTGCGGGCACGGCACTTTTAAAAGCAACTCCTTCTTTTTTATTGTTGTGCATGTGAAGGGTTAAGTTTAATTGAAGCAATTTTTCAACTGCCAGCTGAAATCAGTGTATCTAAATTCCCAGTATATTAACATTATCCTATGTAAATTATGCCGGTGAAAAAGAATGACCTGTCCATTGGGATTTGCAAATACTGTAACTATGGAACTGTATTCTACCAGCCCTATAAAAACCAGCAACGGGGTTGAGATGTCAGGTTTCCTTTCTGCTCCAGTCATGATCAGAAATCCTGTGGCTCACAATACTCTGACTGCAGTGGTGTTGAGTCAGTGCTGCAGTCTACTCAATTAGAGTCAGGGACGCCGTGTTCTTGCTCAGAGGATAAAGACAGGCAGCATACTGATGAGAAGGCATCCTTTTTTTATTTGGGAGTGAGAGGGTTAAAGGCGATCCCAGTGCTGAAGCTTCTATAGAATTGTGTGCAGTGGGGCGGGAACCATCTTTCATGCTGTTCAGCGAAAAAATGCAAATCCGGGCAATACCAGCGAGTGGAAGTCCATCTTTAATGAGTGACATTAGTTCCCCGGGACTCTTGTTTTAAGGGGTGACGGTGTCCCCAAGAGAGTTACAGCTGTGCCTGTGCCTTGATTTAGAGATTTATATCAAAGCCACCTGCATTTGCTAATTACTTGAAGATGGGCTGTGGTATTTTGCTGCTATAAATCATTAGTGGGGCAGATTAGGTCATTCATCCTCCATGCCGCAGATAGAAGGCCCGATCCTGCAGTGGGAGCTGAAGACAGGTGGTGTTCACAGGATCGGGCCCGGAAACTGATGTCGACTGCCTTGAGTTCCCAACACAGAGGGGACTCCCCTCATTAATCAGTCAGTATCTTGCTGTCGGTGTGGAATACTACTCCCCACACCCCTAGCCACAATCACAGCAGACTAGTGAGATCATGGCCCAGCAGCATGCCTCGCCAACGCCCTTCGCAGCATAGTCTTTATTTAGCTATACAATAAAGTTATTTTAGTCAAAGTGGTCTCATTTTCAATTTAATCCTTTGCTCTACTCCCCAGCCCCAAAAGGAACACATTCCCATATATCTGTAGGGTGTGATAGAGAGTGGATGGTTGATCTCTTTAAAATATATGCAGTAATAGGCAAAGGGCATGATTACAGTGGCCAGTTTTCATGAGGTTGTGAACAAGAAACGATGTGCAATAAAGTATTGTGCCACATAGCACACTGAATAGACCACTTGTTACATTTATAGATGACCTATATCTCACACGTAAAATGCTGAGCTATGTTCTCTGTTGCTGTAAATGGGTGCAGCTTCTCTGAAGTCAATGGATGCAGCCCCATTGACACCAGCAGTGAATGTACTGAGGGCACCACTGCTATATTGCTCTGTGTATCTGGGCGGCATGATACTGAATGCATTGGGTACACCCAGGTGAGGTGCCCCTGATGGCCTGCTGACTGTACAGGATATGTCCACATGGAGTGTCCCTGTTGTATGTATCAGGGACATCCAGATAGAATGCTCCGGTTCTGCTACTGAATGTACCATTTCCAGTGCATGGCACCTTCTGGGTTGCTGAATGTGATGCGTGCAGCTTAATACCCCTTTTTATCATCACTTGTATGTGGAGAAAATGCCAGCACAGCATTTTCAATGCAGACCAGCAGTAGGAGGGTTAACCTATTTCCCTGCATCTCTCTTCTTGTTGCATTGTGCCCCAATGGCATCTCCAAGGACAAACAGTTCCTTTTCGACGTATTCCTTGCGAGGAGGGGTGGCTGGTGGCAATGGAATTCAGTGTAAACCTCAACCCCCTTTTTTTTCCGCAGAGACACTGCCTCTGCAGCACATGCTGGCAGAGTTGAAGGCTGTCACAGCTCAGGGGTATCTTTCCCATGAAGCGGAGCCAAACTGAAGGCAGATTAGCATAATAAGCACTTGCCCAGCCAATCCTGCCAGTCCGTAGAGAGTGTGCAGGCACCTCCAGCCTTAAGGCATCATCAGCCCCCAGTGTGTGGGGGGGGGGGAGGGGAGGGGACAAAACAGATGTTCCTCCCCCAAGGCTGCTGAACTGACAGAACAATAGCACAGCTGCTAAGAGCGGCCTGCATCCTGCTGCCACTGGATCCATCAAGCTCATCCATGCTGGAGCTGCAGCAGCTAATTTGGATGTCAGTGGGGGAGAGGCGGAGGCGGTGGGTGGGAATATTATTAAGATGCTAATTAAGCTCCAGTAGCAGAAATTCCATATTAAGAACAGTGGAAGGGAATTCATTAGGTATCAGAGAGGCTCGCACTCTCTGATAGCATTAGACCTTCCATGCAGAACAGAGTTTCAGAAAATCCACTCCAGCTGGTGTGTGTGGGTAGGTTGTTGCTACACAAAACACAGATTGTAGGGATTGATGGTCTGTGCAATATGGTATTTTCCAGTAACACAGAGGGAAATTCACCCCTTGGCAGAGGGCTAGAACTAATGCTTTGGGCACACATAAGCCTTAAATGGTGAACAGGCATCAGTTTCACACACAGCAGGGTCAGAGCTTAGGTTCCCCACTGCTCCAGTCTACGCAGATGTCTTCAGTTTGCCAAGTTGGGGGTGGGGGGAGGAGGTTCAAGGGCAGTGTGATGCAGTGTGTGAGGGAAGTTGCGCTCTGCTAGCTGGCCTGCAGCAAGGAGAAGACACCTCCTTTCAGCAGCGAAAGGAATTCGCCTGTAGCTCAAGCTATGGTGTTACTACGGCAGCCTAGGTCAGTACTGGTGGAAAGTCGCTACCATCTGATGTGTGTTCATTGCCCTGTGTGCAATGAGTTTGGTGTTCTCAGCCCGGTTCTCAATGGGCAGATATCCACATCAAAGAAATCACTACCGTTGCCTCGAATTTGCCCCTTTGTTGGTAGTCTTAGGCCTGGTCTACACTTGGGGGGCAGGGGGGGAAATCGATCCAAGTTACGCAACTTCAGCTACGTGAATAACGTGGCTGAAATCGACATACTTAGATCGACTTACCGTGGTGTCTTCACCGCGGTGAGTCGACTGCTGCCGCTCCCCTGTCGACTCTGCCTGCGCCTCTCGCGGCGCTGGAGTACAAGAGTCGATGGGAGAGCGCTTGGGGGTCGATTTATCGCGTCTAGACTAGACACAATAAATCGATCCCAGCTGGACTGATCGCTGCCCGCCGATCCGGTGAGTAATGTAGACATACACTTAGCAGAGGGTTCAAGGACCGGATGGGCCATAGAGGCTGATTTACCATTTGACCTTTAGAGGGGTTTCTTTGGGCCAGGGTTAACGGACACTGACAGGCCATGGGGAGAAGCTTGTAGTGTTGCTAACTAGGCAGGACGTGATGAGGGAACAATCCTGGATGGGATTTCTTTTTGATGGAAGGGCAGGGATTTTTCCCCCATGCTAGTTCACCTGTCCTTTGCATTGATCTGTCTGTTTATTTGATCTTCTGTGTGTCTTCCTTCTCTGTAGGATATTACACCTTACACAGCCAAATCTACCTCAACTTCATCACAATTTTCATTGACGTAGGGAAAAAAATCAGTTTCACTATTCATTGTTCTTCTTAAGCCTGCTCATGAGCAAAACTAAATTCTAGATCTGTTTAACAATCCCTCTAACCCAGGGGTGGCCAACCTGTGGCTCCGGAGCCACATGCGGCTCTTCAGAAGTTAATATGCGGCTCCTTGTATAGGCACCGACTCCGGGGCTGGAGCTACAGGCACCAACTTTCCAATGTGCCGGGTGGTGCTCACTGCTCAACCCCTGGCTCTGCCACAGGCCCTGCCCCCACTCCACCCCTTCCCACCCCCTCCCCTGAGCCTGCCATGCCCTCGCTCCTCTCCCCCCCCACCAGCCTCCTGCACAACAAGAAACAGCTGATCGGGAGGTGCGGGGAGGGAGGGGGAGGTGATGATTGGCAGGGCTGCCAGTGGGCGGGAGGCACTGGGAGCGGGGGGGGAGCTGATGGGGGGCTGCTGACGTATTACTGTGGCTCTTTGGCAATGTACATTGGTAAATTCTGGCTCCTTCTCAGGCTCAGGTTGGCCACCCCTGCTCCAACCCATCAGCCCATAGCCTTGAATCTTTCCAGAGAAAAACATCCCTGCACTTGCATGACAAATACATTAGTGATGGTATTTTTTTAAAACAAAC